CCTAACCATTAGACAATGTAACAATGTTCAACACTAATAATGCTAACGCTTGGTATTAGTGTGTCACTATTACTTTCTCACAGGTTGAATATGGCATAATTCAAACTTCTGGTAGTCACAGCATCAATATACCTTCATTCTAGTTTCATTTGTTTTAACAGTTTGTCTGGCATGTAATGACATTTCAATATTTCTGATGTGTCCCCTTTCCATTATGCAACCTGTTTTCAAGGAGAGGTGTTGAAGCAAACAGCACTCCAACTAAAAGCTCTGAGCAGCCAGAATCCCTTGAGAGTGAGGATTCTGAAGAGAGCATTACCTCAGCCAGCATTTCATCAGATTTCAGCAACTTGGAAATGGAAGAGCCCAGCACCTCGCAAAAACCGCTGGAAAAGGTGAGACAACGAGGCACTCACCACATAAAATAGGTTGTTCTCGGAGGCTCTGGTTTGTCCAGACACTTTTTTTTTCTTTTTTCTTTTCTTCCTTTCTTCTGGCTTCCTGCCCTCCCTTATCCTATCCTTTCGAGAGGATGCAAGAGTACTCAGTGATACCGCTCCAACCACTGGAGCTGGCTGACTGCCTGGCCAATCTACTTTACCTTTCTTTTAAGAGCTATTGGTCTATTAGCCATTTTGAGGTTTCAGCCAGACTGAAATCCTTAATTTGAACACAGCTCAACCAAGCATCCTCATGATTGGCCGCTGCCAGCAATTTTCCATACCAGGTCCCACTTGCCATGGTTGGGTTACTTGGTTTCAGAACAAAGGCAAGACAGCTATGCCATTCCCAACAAAATTCAACCTTTGTGCCGGTTACTGAAGCATCTGATTCCAGAAAATATATTATTCGCTCACGAAGTGAAAGCTGACTTTTTTTCTGAGATGTGCAGATTTGCTTTGTTTTGCTTAGATATTTTATATAATTTTTAAAAATGTACAAATGCAGCTATACATGTTATTTTAAAAAATAATCATCACACGAATAACCAAAATATTTCATCTTTAATTCTTAACATCATTTTTAACTTGTACACAGTCAATTTTAGTGCATGGGGTATGTCTGCAGCAGTTTGAAGTGCACTGTCCACAAAAACAGTACTTTAGAGTATGTTGGCTAGGTCTTGATCCAGCAATTGCAATAAAGTAATGCAGCTCCCTGCATGCAGACCTCTTGACTGCATGTTTTGTTTTTCTTCTACCCTTGGCCTTTTAGCTGTTGATTAGTGTGTTGTCTGCTGAAGACCATTGTATCCTGGGAGATTATCAAAGTTGTGTCATCGTTGATGTTTGTAGAATATGTCCAGGACTTGTCCCAGGGATATTTTAGCAATTTATTCTCCCAAGAATTGGGTTAAGCATTATTAGGTCATGTTTGGGTGTTTTGGAGTGGTATTTTTTTTGTTTTAAAATACCCTGTCCCTTTCTATGCATTCTCCTGTTTAGTGTTGTGACTGCCTCTATATTAATAATAAACTAAGAGCTGCAGTGACTTGGATGATTTCACTTCTAGTTTCTTTGGTTCTATGGCTCCATGTGTTTTGCTGTTGCTATCTCTGTCTTTCTTTCTGTCAGTGGTACCGTCCCATACACATTCTGACCTGCACAATACACCGATTGGCCCATTCACAGTCACCCACAACGTCATAAACGTGTGTTTTAACGTCACACAGTGTAGTTGGATTCAACATTTCTGTGCATAGCGGGGTGAAATGGGCAGATAAATATTTATGTAAGCATGTTTAAATACTGAGTGCAAACTGAAATCCCAAACGGTTTATCTGACAAACTTAGAATTGAAGCACCAGTTTAAATGGTCAAGTGAAATGACCACAATGTTATTGTGCTTAAAGAAACTAACTTGGTAATTGATCGGTGTGCTAAGTAATGAATTGTTGACGTTGGCTGAACAGCAAGTAAACACAAGTGGGAGTATAATTCCTCAGAAGTGGAACAGTAAATATAACTGGAAAGAGGGAACTATCTAATATGCAACAATTGACAAAAGTCTTGTCAAACAAAATAATTATTCCACAGTCATTGAAATCCATGGATACCACCTCCTCTGGAGTTTCATCCAACAGTGGTGCGCCATCAGAAACATATTACTACATACCCAAGCCTCGTAGGCGTGCTTACTCGGGCAGCTGCTGGAATACAACACGTCCTAGGTACAACCACCAAAATGGGGAAAACTGTCTCATCCGAGTCGGATTAGAGGAAGACAAAGCAAAAGAATTCAAAACTATTTTGGTAAGTACCTGGATTGTTTTCTCTCGTCATGCTTGGTCTAAATAATTGTCATTGCTTTCTGTCAGTATCTACATAAATGCAAGAGGATTTTTTATCCAAATTATTCGTTGCCATGCAGTCATATTCATTATCTATTTTCCACATTGCTGAAGCCTTTTTTTTGGTCTGTGGGAGTGCTTTGACCATCATTTGGATACTGTTTTGCAATGTACTAGCAATGTTTAGGTTTTAGGCCTGAACACATTTTCCTTGCATTTTTCCTTTAAATGTACATAGTAAGGTGCAGCACTCTGTTACCCCATTTTGGGGATGGGCTGATAACTATTGAAGAGGAAAAATCACAAATTAACCCACACCATTAACTGTACAATAAATCAGTAAGGAGGTACCAGATCTTCAGTTAGCTGACCACAGGCACTTTGGTCCATCTGTCAACGAATCGAGTAATATTAGCAAAGACATTGAATATTATTTCTTTCCCGGCTTTGGCTCATGTGAAAGTTAAAAGGCTGCAGCATGGAAGAAAGCACATCAAAAAAGGGTTGGAGAAGAGTGCAGTCCAAAATAGAATAATTGCCTACTGACTAGTTCAGGAAAGCCGAAGGAATATTGGCCTAATTGGAAGGCACATAGATTGTTTGGCTTGATCATTTATTTTCCTTGAAAGGATCAGTGATACTCTTTGATTGTGGCTCCACAGAGCTCAGTATGATGTGTGGGAAATTGCTTCTGGTATTTAAATATTGTTAACGAACACCGTCTCTTTACCCTGGTAAAAAGAATATTTGTTAGCTTGTCAGGGAGTTGGAGCTGGGGGAGAACCAGCTTAAGATTTAGGTGGAATTTGCATAAGCAAATGGCAAACAGCCTATTTAAATTGAACATTTCTGAAATACAGAAAATTCGCAATCAAAATGACAACAACGTTTCCTGCTGAAAGTGGAATATATTTTTGCCAACAAACACAGTCGTTCGAGGCCAGCCAAAGAATCATGGAATGTTATTACAAAGCAAAAAAGACTTAGGCTTATTGTGTCTGTGCTAAATCTCAGTAAGAAGTATCTAACTTGTCTGTCCCCATTGCCCTTTTTACCACTGCCCTGCAAATTTTGCCTCGTGTAATTATTCAGTCCTCTTATGAAAGTAATTTAATCTGCTTTATCCACACATTCAGATATTGCAGTTTGGAAAAAGCAGAATTCTCCATTTTTTTTTTGCCTTTTTTCCTCACCAATGACCTTAGATTTTGTCCTTGGTACATAGTGTCAGAAGGGCCAGTGAACAGTTTCCCACGTTCGTTAGTCTGAGCAAATGACTGTTCTTCATGATTCTGTATTCTCGTTCTTCCCCAATTTTATGTCTATACCGCCACTGCCCATTTCATTCCACAGGCTTCAATTTTGCTCGCACACTTGTGTGCTACTTTATCAAACATATTTTAGAAAATCCAGTTCATCACCAATGAATCACTAAAATCAGTGATTAATCGTTTACAGTCTGCGCGTACAGAGTGGAAAAGGTATCGGTTATTCAAAAAAGATCAATTTAGGGGATGTTAGTTAACATAACCTCTAATTGTGTAATATTTGACGCCACCACTTCGAGTTGTAGAGACATACAGCACAAAATATCCCTCCAAACCTTTCCTATTTCAGTACTTATCCAAATGTCTTTTAAATATTGTAATTGTGCTTATATCTGCCACTTCCTCAGGAAATTAATTCCACAACTTATGTTGTATTTTTTCAAATTTGTTGTTCATTAATATATTTATTATGATCTTTGCTT